TTTTGGAAATGGGTTTGGTTGAAGAGAGAAGAGAGTGTATTTTTATATAAAAACTGAGTAACAGCGATTCCACGTTTGAGATATATGAAAGAAAGAAAGAAAGAGGTAGGTGAAATCTACCAGCCAAGAGTATTCAGGCGCCGTCACTTACATTTTCGAGCTATTTTGACTTCTGACTTTCATCTTCCATTTTTGGTTTGTAAAAATCAAACACCCATATTTTTTTTTTCCATTTTATAAGATATTTGATTTCATTATTAAATTTTTTTGACCGAGATTATTCTTTGATAAAAATTAGTGTATTTGAACTTTCTAAACTATTTGAAAAGAAAACAAAAACAAAATTTGTAAAGGTGAGATTTTTTTCTTTTTTTGTGAACAATGTAAAGGTGTGATTACATCAAAAAAATTTATTCATAATTAGTTTGAAAGTTGTAGCGAACGCATATTATTTTGGGGCAGACAACAATTTGCAACACACCAAATAAAAAAAATGGTTTGCTAACAGGTCTTAACGAAGGTGTCTTAAAAAGTTCTTAAGTAAATCTTAGATCAAAAATTAAAGACAAATCATGTTAAAGATTAAGAAACGTGGCTTAGCTAAGACCCAAAATTGACCTTAAGAGCCAGCCACTTGTCATGTTATTACTTTAATACTCCTAAGAACCATTTTTAAGATACCATTGTTAATCATGCTCTTAAGCGTCTTAGCAAAAAAAAAAAAAAAACATGTTAGGCTTTCAAAACTTAAAAACGACCAAATATGTCTCTTGCAAATATCAATTAAAGGAAGTAAATTTGCATACCTCCGATCAATTTCAAATCATTCCAACACATTCACAGATACCAAAACATAAACACAAGCAAAATAAATTAGCATATTTTTAGATAATTCAAGTTTCTATTGAGCATAAAAATGCACACACTGGTTTTGCATTTTCCATGAGTCTGATGGAGAAGATTAGAGTTGTATTTATGCTTTGAGAGAAAGAGACCAAATAAATTTGACTAATTATTCTCATGTGAAGCAAATAACAAATCATAAACTAAAACTTGAAAACAAAGAAAATCCCCATATCAGTATATAAATTAAACAAATAACAAATACAGAATGTTATTATACAATTTATTCGAAGCAATTGGAGAACAAAGATAAACATGTTAAGTTGATAAGTGAAACAACAGAACAGAACGTGATCCAACATAATCAGATGTACACAGTACAGTAAATATAAATATGGTAGATGAAAAATTGTGATGAGTCCAATAAAGGATTATTAATGTATAATGGTACACACTTCTTTCTCCAACTTCCTTCTCTTCCCTGCATAATTATCATCTTCCCTTGTCTGCAAAATAGAATAATGGAAACGTTCAGTTACTTATCTTTCTTGCTTTCTTAACTCTCTCTCAAAAAACTAGAAATAAGACTCACTTCTTCGTATAATGAAGGTAGAGCTTGAATCCTCTTCGACGCATCAGCCAAGCGTTTCCGTGGCATATGGTTTTCACCAGCCGCAAAGTTTTCAGAAACCTATCACAAAGAAGGAGACGCTTCTTAAGAGTTTGGGTTGGGTAAGACTCAAACAGATTATTTTTTAACTAATCACATGTCTAAGACATCACATATGTCTAAGACATCACACATGACTAAGACATCACACATGTCCAAGGGATTACCTGTTTCCGGATAGCTCCGGTCAATAGGTCTTGACATCCTGAAGCGTACACAAGTTGTAACTTTGGACATTGTAGCACCAAACTCTCTGGATGCAAATTGCTGCATAAGTTCAAGTTCAAGTCCATGAGCTCTGGGCAGTTTAGGAACAAAGCCTGCATCAAAAGATTGAAACTATGAGAAGATGGAATCAAGGTTTGAACTTGTTTAGAGAGCATTGATGAGGAATCTCACGTCCAAACTGGAGCATCCCCACAAACTGAGTTTCTTCAGCCGTTTATGTTTGATAAACATCTTCTGATTGTAGCCTGGTGTTTTATGTGGACTTGGATTCTCTACAATGGTCGGATTATCTGAGTTGGGATCAGACACAGTCATGCCACAATCCATCAGCTCAAGAAGGGGCAATTGAGCAGTAGCAAATTGAATGCCACCTGCAAGAATATTCAATATAGAAGAAATGAGAATACAGGGAATAATCTCAAAAAATATAATACATATGCCAACCAGAGATCAAGAATTTACTTGATGTAATGTTGGGACAAAGAGCAACAAGTAATTTTGAGAGTGTATCAGGTAAGACATCACAGATCATCCCGAGGCCAGTATCAGTAATGCTGGAACTAAAACCAACAAAGAATCATGTCTTAAAAATACGCTCTTCATGTGTATACTTCTCTGAAACCACTAGAGATATAGACAGGATATACTGAACGAGAACAAAACATACCCACTCAGATCAAGCAGTTCAAGGTTTGTGTAACTTGAGGAAATGGCAGCTACAGATGCATCGGTGATATCTATTCCAAGAACTAGCGAGAGCATTCTCAAATACCTGGACGAAAAGGAAACTGACATCAATCACTAAGAACAACTGCTCTCAAATGAAAATAGTGGACTAAATGTGCATAAGAAGAATTATTACAAACAAAAGAAGACTATAAATAGGGATATTGGACAAACCTGAAATTCACAGCAGTAAGAGCAAGTACAACAGTATGTGAAAGCTTCAAAGAGGCTATATGAATGTTCTGCAATCTAGTGCAAGTCCTTCCCAAACCATCAACCATTGTTACAAGATCAGTTGAATCATCTTCTTGGCGAGAAAATTCAAGTGATATTTCCGTAAGATTTGGACAGTTGAAGATCTGATAAAACAAAAAGAACAAAACAATCTGCACTTTAGATACACAAATTCCCTTCCTGAACTATAAAAATGAGAGAAAAATGGAAATTCAGTTACCATCTTTGAGAGAGAATGAAGATCTGAGAGCCAGAGAGTGGAGAGGCTTGATGAAGAGAGGGAAAATCCTCCCAAGTTGGAACATCCTTCCATCTTAAGGCTTGTTAGTCCTCGTTTATTAGCAACAAACCGACTCAGCTCATCCCTATTCATACAATAAACCATTGAACAATCAAAGACAGATCCACAGAAGAACAAACAGCTATTTTTAAGACGTTCAAAACCATAAATCCCCTCAGAAGAAAAATCTATGATAAATCACATGCAAAATGACTGCTTAGCACAGATGAATTTCTACATTCATGGCATGATCACATAAAAATCAAGAGGCCTAATCTCAATCTCACATAACAACTCAAAAATGTGGACTTATTTACCCAGAAATCCTATTGACAGCTGCACCCGAAGTTGTAATCTCCAAAACCTCCAGGTTAGGACAAGAAAATGCAATGCAAGCCAGAGTTGTCGCGTCAAAATCACTGCAGCAGAACAAACAAATCCAATCAGAAACATGAATTGTTACAATAAATTGCAATTAATCCAATAAACAGAAGACCATTAATAATACTTATGATTCTTAATCATCGATAACTTTTAAGATTTCATTAATCCAATTTTCAAATGAACTCTCAGATCTAATAATAGATCTTACGAAAGAAGAAGAATCACCTCTCGATTTTAAGTGAGAGTCTAATTAGTCGAGGACACTTTTGTAATAAAGATCCAGTGTATCCAATCTGAGCTGTCTCCGGAACCCTAATCCGAAGCTCCTCAGCCGCTTTCCACATCTTCCTCGATGTCTCTCTCCATCCTTTGCAAACCCTAGCCGCCATCAGTAAACTCGACGGTGGCAGGCGCTTAAGCACCTCCCATAAACCGACCGCATGAAACCTCCCAGGCTGAACAATATCCGTATCCAAATGTAGATCCAGATCCGCCGATGCAGCATCCAGATCGGATTCATCCAGTGAATTACGCGCATCGACGTCATCGAAAGATAAAGCGCGGCGTAAGTGAGTGAAAGACTGACGCGACGACGGCGCTGCCGTTAAGGATAAGACAGTGGAACGGGAAGAAGATGCGGCGGCGGAGATACAGCTCACTGGCTCAGAAGCGATCGGAGTAGTGGGAATATCAGGTGGAGCAGTTAAAAGACAGACATGGCCTTTCTTAGGTTGACCACATCTACCGCAATTGTAACTTCCTCGGTTTTTTCGGACGCGCTGAGATTCAAGCGCGGCTGAGATCGCGGCAGTTGCGGTGGTCGGAGAAATATGCGGCTGAGGTTGCATCGTGAGATTTGGGAGAGAGAGATAGAGAGATTGGAGCTTGGGAATGAGATTTGAGATTGAGATTTGAGATTAGGAGGGAGAGATGAAAAATAAAAAAGGAGGGAAGGAACGGCGGGAGATAAAATGGTGTTTTCGCGCGATTGATTTCGAAAGACACCGAAGCAAAAATATGTTAAAAATGAAAGACGGAGCCGCTCAGCTAAATTGGAAGGAGCGTGAGGTCTAGCTTGGTGAATTACAGTTTTGTCCTTGGTTTTGGAATATATCACGTGGCTTTTTTTGTAGACGTTGGGATCCACTGTACTTAACCTGTGCCGAAAATAGTTGACTAATATTACTATTTTGTAAGGAAAAGATTCTTCCTAAAAATACAATTTGTAGTAATTTGTTACTAGTTAAAAGACTTAAAGCAAAGTAGCAAACACAACAAATAATAAGCCAATAAATATAATTATGACATATTTGCTTTATCATAGTTGGAAATCTCATTGACAATCTTTTCCAAAAAATTTATATTTCTCTATTTAAAATAATAATTTAATGGCCATTCAAAATCTTAGAGATATTGTTACTTATAATAGTGGTTTTTAGTTATAGGTATATTATTATAATAATCTCATAATGTATATATTTCCTTTTTAATATTTCAACTTCTTATTATTAATCAAAACGTATATCTCTGTAAAATGTAATTTTTTGGTCAAAATCAAATCAATTCTAAACAGGAAATTTGTATAATGGTAGCAGACTCTGTTTATGATAACAACTCAAGGATTTGGTGATCGTGTTGAGTTCTCAAAAGTTTATTTCATTCGCAACGATGCTAATATGAAGTCCCAAATGGTGGCTTCAACGAGACGAGTTCAACACAAAAAGAAAAGAAAAAAACTACAAATCCAAAGAACACTCGAAACTGTTTTATCTATACAGCCTTCTTTACGATGTCACAAGAACTGAAAGCTTCAGTTTTTAGAGCTCTTTCGATATAAGTTACAACCTCTCTCGAGGAATTTGGTCGCGTAGGTCAACCGATCAAAAGTATTGCAGGACGGCGATCATATCTCCACGCGACATTATCAAAAATTATTCTCTGCCAGAAAAAAAAAAAGTTCTTCTTCTTCACAGACACAATGTTCTCCTGCAAACATGCAAGTCAGATATCAAACACAGTTACGGAGGAGGATTCTACTCTACCCAATTTTTCCCGGGTGGGGCAGAATCAAAGCTTTGGCCCTAATTGACATCTTAAGCACGTATGAGCTAATGCGTTGCATGTCTTTTCTAGGTTTAGGAACTAGGACCAATACTTCGGAAACTGGTGAATACCTTGTCAGGGAGCTCCAATGCCGTAAATACAATCTTTTTTGCAACCTTCTCTACACCCCAGCAGCTGTTTTAGCTTCAGGACTTGCCTTTCCCTGAAATGAAATTGGATTTACACATCTCAGTTCCAATCTTTTTTCCGTGTTGCAAAACAACGAGAAATAACTAGATGGATAAGTTTGACTTTTCACAAACAAACCTCAGAGGAGTCTTTGCGGATTTTCCTGGTTGGAGTCCTCATAGTGACAAACTCCTCAGCCGCTGTGGGGTGAACACCCACTGTTGCATCAAAGTCGGCCTTAGTTAAACCAGCTTTAACTGCAACCCCAAATCCCTGGAAAATTGTAAATAAAATTCATATTCAATCATACATGTTTTCCAAGTTTATTTTTCAGAAAATACCAATCATGTTGACAAGTGAAACCTGGATGATTTCTGGTGAATCCTCTCCACACATGTGAACACCGAGAACTTTATTGGTGTTTGCACAGACAATGAGTTTCATGAACACCCGGTCTGGAAGTCCTGAAAGCGTAGCCTTTAATGGCCTAAAGTTTGATGTGAAAACATCGACATCACCATATTGTTCTATGGCCTGCAAACATGTATCTAACATTTATATGCAGTGACAAACAATAAACCATATTTTTGACAAATCATCCTACTTACCTGCTCTTCGGTTAGACCAACTGTTCCAATAGGTGGCTGGGAGAAAACGGCGCAAGGAACAGCTCTAGTTGATTATAGAACACAGAAAGGATAAAAAGCCATCAGAGACAACAGTTGTAAAATGTTCTAGATCACTGATGGATCATGTAAGACTAAACAGAGAAAACTCTCATCAATCATCACAAAATCCAAAGGTCTAAACGTCAAAAGTTAAGGTTGTTATGATACCTATAATCAGGCTTTGTTGGCTCATTTTGAAACAAAGTTTTAGCCAATGCACCTCCCTCCATCAAAGCAACTGGAGTCAAATTGATTCGGTCAGTGACATCCCCAACAGCCCAAATGGATGGAACGGAGGTCTGCGAATATTCGTCAACCTTACAAAACAAAGTGGAAACAAGGAGCACAATTACACAATAAGTAACCAGGTATAACAAGAGAACTGTGCACAATGCAATAATAAATACTAGGCGACAAAATATAGCTAAAAGTTTAAAACCCTGAAACATACCTCTATTGCTCCATTTTTCGCCATTTTTACGCCAACATTCTCCAACCCTAAGTTCTGTTATAGCAGCCAACATTACATCAATGATCAATCATATTCTACGACAATTGTAATAGCTTCCATTTAAGTCATAAATAAGGAGCAGCAGTGGTCAGTTTATCTTAGACAAATTATTAAAGCAATGAACTTTGCTACCAGTTTTCATTTTATAAACATCCTTTGGAAAATAAAAAATCACACTATACCTTTGTGTTGGGCTTGCGACCAGTTGCAAACATAACATGCGAAAATCCCTCAACAGTTCCCTTGCTGGTCTTCAGAGACAACGAGCCATCTCCAGCTTTGATGATGGCTTCAGGGGATTCTTCAGTGTGAAACTCAATGCCTCTTAAAGACATCTGCTCTCCAACAAAATCCCTGACCTGAAACAAGTATAACAACAACAGTTAGAAAATAGCCAGAAGGATAAACAAAGCAGCTAAAGTCATTCTCATTTTTTTACTCACGTCTTCATCAAATCCCCTCAGCACCTTCTTTTGCCTTATAAATACATGAACTTCACTGTTAAGACCATTAAAGATGCCTGCAAACTCCAGGGCTATGTAGCCACCACCAACGATTGCAATTTTCTTGGGCTTGGAAGGCAAATCAAGAGCGGCATCAGAATCAATAGCAAACTCTTTTCCTGGAATGTCAGGAATGAACGGACGTCCACCAACTGCAATCAGAATATTCCTCGTAGTATAGATTTTCCCATCTACATCAACAGTGTGTGGGTCTATAACCTGCACATATAAAAATATATAATCAAGCTCGAATCAAATCGATACATAGAGGTCAAAGCATGAACTATATAAACTCCGAGCTTCGGCATACCTTTCCACGACCTTCAATCAACTTGACATTAGCTTTGCTAAGTATATTCTTATAAATACCAGTCAACCGCTGCAACTCAGCATTCTTGTTAGCAATCAAAGTAGTCCAATCATGAGAAGGCTCAGTCTCATACTTCCAACCAAATCCATGACTGTCTTCAAACTCGTGACTGTATTTGGACGCATACACAAGCAACTTCTTTGGAACACATCCTCTCAGTACACACCTGTGCAGTAACCAAAAAATGAGTTCACTCATTCGTCTTTTGATTCTTAGATTTAACACAGCTTATTAGAATGATATCTCTCTACAACAAAATCAAACCATAAATCATCAAGCAAATGCTTCAAATTCTTGTACAGCTATTACTAAAATCAAATTGTCGAAATAAGCCACAAGACGGAAGAAATCTTACGTTCCTCCGACGCCTCCAGCTGTATCAGAGGAGATGGTGGAAAAAGGAAGCTCGCAAACGGCGGCGGATGCACCGAAGCTAGTTGAGATGCGAGAAGCGCGGACGCCGCCGCTTCCAGCACCGATAGTGAAGAGATCAAAATCGTAGTGGCGCTCGGAGTCAGCTCCATTATCGGTACTGGCACGAACAGAAAACCGGCGAGAGTGGTAATACCGGTGGTTTGAGAGTACGGCGATACGGGGACGCAGAGAATAGAGAGAGGTTAGGGTTTTAGGGAGTGAGAGAAAGCTAGAGGAAGAAGATGATGATGATGATGATGGTAGATGAATTGCGATTGGGAGCTTTTTGCAGAGGATTTGAAGAGATGGAGAATATGAAATTGTACTAGTAAGCTTCGGAGTCGAAGCCATCTCCACGATTCTTCTTCCTCTCTCTCTTCTTTCTTTTCTTTTTTTCTTTATATGTAAACTAATTTCGATAATTCTACTTGTGGCATTTAGATTTATGACATATTTTATTGTTTTTTTTTACGATTTATGACATGTTTTTTTGTGTGGTCATTAAGACTCTACCGACTACCAAACTGACAATAACTCCACCTACGCTACTAATACAACTTCATCGGATCTAATTGATGATATAGGTTTTGATTGGTATTACCATTTGTTATGTAATCACTTATACAAGTGGTACCAAAACTTTCAAAATCCAAGTATCTTTCTGGAAAGATCACTTGGCTATGGAGAAACTTAATGGAATAATCAGAATTAACCGGCCCAACTTCTCTTGATTCCTATGATCCATGGGAAGTAGACTCGATTGATTAAGGTAGAAGAGGTTGATCCCTTAATAATTTGGCTCACAAAAAGAATATGCAATTGGCTGCATTTTTATTTTGCCTTCAAATTATCAGAACAAAATTGCGAATTTATGTTTCGATCTAATGCACAAGCGAGATTTGATGTCTCCACTAGTTCTCTTTTTTCCGTTATATTTGATTACCTTCTATATAAGCTACGATCATAGAAGTAAACAATGGCTATCAATGACTTAAGTAGTTGTAACATTCTTTTAGTTCAATGTATTTCAAACACACTTTTTCTTAAAAATATTTAGATTTACGAAAACTATAAAAAGTAAAGAATTATATTAACACAATATGAAACAATATGGGATTTTGGTCTAATGTGCCATATACTGTAGCAAAACTTACAGAAATTGCCACAAAACATTTGTTTTTCCAAATGTGCCATAATGGTGGACAAGACTTTGAACCAAAAATTTTTGATAGACAAGAAATGTTGTCCACATTTGAAACAACAGATTGAGAAGATATTTGGTGGACAAAAAAACTGGTCCACTTTTGAAACAACAGACTTTTGGTGGACAAGAATTCGAAACGATATACAAAAATTTGGGTAGACAAGAAATGTTGTCCACCATTATGGCACATTTGGAAAGATTTATGTTTTGTGGTATTTTTGCTAAATTTTTGAACACTAAGTGACACATTTCTCAGACAATATTTCTCAGACAATATTTCTCCTAAACCATTAACAATACTATTCCATGAACCTTTTTCTTGCAAAATTTCATAAAACATTTAAATTTCTTAAAAAAATTATCACAGTACTTTAAAAGATGGTCCATGTTCCATCATAATTAAAAAAAAATTAAGAGAACAAAACAATCACTAAAAAATACTAAGAGAGAACAAAAGAGTCGAGCCATACGAAACTACGCCGTATCATTCGGCCCAGCCATTTGAAACTACACCGTATTACTAGGCCCGACCATTTAAAACGACGCCATATGCTAGGCCCTTTGATAAAAAATAAACGCACTGTGAGTCTGTGAATTCTTCTCGGCTTCGACTTCCGGATTTAGGGGAAGAGATGAATTCTGAAATCCCTTGAGAGAAAATTTTCTTTCGCCTCTCAAAACATTTTCAATTCCCGCCAATTTTCTTTTCCGAGAATATCCCCAACCTTCTACAAACCCTAATTTAGTTAATTTTCATTCTCCACTGCTTTCTCTGAAACCAACTCGAGATCTCTCCAATCATGCCTGCGATACAAACCCCATCGGGGAAGATCTTGCAGCTTGAGATGGAGAATTTCAAATCTTACAAGGGTCACCAATTGGTTGGTCCTTTCAAGGATTTCACTGCTATTATTGGTCCCAACGGTGCTGGCAAATCTAACCTAATGGACGCTATTAGCTTTGTGCTCGGTGTTCGTACCGGTCAACTTCGTGGTTCTCAGCTTAAGGATCTTATCTACGCTTTTGATGACCGTGACAAGGAACAGAGAGGTCGGAGAGCGTTTGTTCGCCTCGTTTATCAGATGGACGATGGTGTAGAGCTTCATTTCACTCGTACTATTACTAGCGCTGGTGGGAGTGAGTACCGTATCGATAATAGGGTTGTGAATTTGGATGAGTACAATGGGAAGCTACGATCTCTAGGGATACTTGTTAAGGCTCGTAATTTCTTGGTGTTTCAGGTTGTTGCTTCTTCCCCATTTCGATTTAATTCTATTTTTGTTTTGTTTCTATGAATGATTCTGTTTGTTTGATGTCAATTTCGTGTCTAATTGTTCTGGATGATTGAAATCTGGGTATATTTGACTTCTGACATTGCAAAATGTAGGGTGATGTTGAATCTATTGCCTCGAAGAATCCAAAAGAACTTACTGGACTCCTCGAAGAGATTTCTGGGTCCGAGGAGCTTAAGAAAGAGTATGAAGAACTAGAAGAAAAGAAGGCCAGCGCTGAAGAAAAAGCAGCTCTTATATACCAGAAGAAGAAAACTATAGGGAATGAGAAGAAGCTGAAGAAAGCACAGAAGGAAGAAGCTGAGAAGCATCTAAGGCTGCAGGAAGAACTGGTAATTATGTGGATTTGGTGTTATTTTCTAGTGGAGTAGTGCTTTTTTTGTTTAGTTTGTGAAGTATTCTATCTGCCTTCTTGTTAATCTGTCTTCTCGCCATGCAGAAAGCTCTGAAGAGAGAACGCTTCCTATGGCAATTATATAACATTGAAAATGATATCGAGAAGGCGACTGAGGATGTTGATGCTGAAAAGAGCAATCGTAAAGATGTCATGAGAGAGCTGGAAAAGTTTGAACGTGAGGCAGGTAAGAGAAAGGTAGAACAAGCTAAGTATCTGAAAGAAATTGCTCAACGTGAGAAGAAGATTGCTGAGAAAAGCTCGAAACTTGGAAAAATTGTGAGTATACCTTGGAAATCTGTGGTTAACAGATTCTATTTTCCCTTTCAAATATAGCATTAGCATTTCCAGACATCTCTTACAATTTATTTTTTGTTACCCTCTGGAATTTTACTAACGTTCTCACTTGAGTAACTTATATCTGTACTTTTCCTGTGAGCAGCAACCTGAGCTTCTGAGATTTAAGGAGGAGATAGCTCGCATTAAAGCAAAAATTGAGAGCAACAGAAAGGACGTGGATAAGAGGAAAAAAGAAAAAGGGAAGCATTCCAAAGAAATTGAACAGATGCAGGATAGCATTAAGGAGCTGAATAAGAAAATGGAATTATATAATGAGAAGAGACAAGATAGCAGCGGAAAACTCCCAATGCTTGACAGTCAACTGCAAGATTATTTTCGACTGTAAGTTTGAAAGAAATAAGGATTTTTTTCTCTTCGTAGACAGAAGCATTTCCGTTTTCCAACTCTCCTAAGGTTATAGATATGCACCAACTTGCTTTCTCTATATTGCCTATTGAATCTTCTTGCTTGAGTTTTTGTGGTGTAATGAATACTACATGGGTTTACATGGTCCTTACCCTCTCTCTTTTTTTTTTAAGTTTAATGAAATAATTGTTGGGTATGAGTACTTATTCTGTGCTTTGAAGAACAGTCTAAGCAAACAAATAGTTAAGCGTTTTGTTTGACATAATGACATATATCTGGTTGTTTACAGGCTCTATTTTTTTGTGCTGTTGTTGTGACTTTTGTAATATGGATCTTCTTCCTTTTGTGCTGATGTTGTGACTTTTGTAATAAGCTCTATTATTCACCCTTTTGAATCTTTATACCTCCCTTTGTTTCCTAATCGATGTCCCTTCATGTATTTCAATGTGGTTTTGTCTCAGAAAAGAAGAAGCTGGAATGAAAACCATAAAGCTAAGAGATGAGCACGAGGTTCTAGAGAGGCAACGGCGTACTGATCTTGAAGCATTGAGAAATCTGGAAGAAAATTACCAGCAACTAATAAACAGGAAGAATGATCTTGATGAACAAATTAAGCGATTTAAAGACAGGCAAGAAGAGATTGAAACATCTTCTTCGAAATATAAGAATGAAACAACTAGTCTTAAAAAGGAGTTACGTGCACTGCAAGAGAAGCACGTAAATGCCAGGTTAGTATATGTCCTCTACTCACTAGATTGTCTAGCAATGGATGGTTTACTTGCGATGTTATGATATCCTTTAAATGCTACACATTGCTGCAAGTTTTTCAAAAACCTCCTTAGAGATTCTTCTTGCTGTTGCTTCATCTTTCTAACTATGGCTTGAGAGATATTGGTAATTCATTTATCAAGAACACATTACTTTCCATCTTCCCTATCCAGAGTATAAACCCCTTCTTGAGCAGGCAGAATACATTTTGTATCCCCTGATACTCAAATTCAGGATCTTCCGCTGTATGGAATTCCTGGCTAAAAATAAAGTGAAGCCTGTAGGCTCTTAGAGAAAGCTTCAAATTCCCTTGTGGTGCACCTCACCAAGCAGAACTTTTTATTTATTCTTGATAGTTGCTAACCTTCTTATATGATGAACAGGAATGCCTCTGAGAAGTTGAAGACTAGAATCGCGGAATTAGAAGACCAGTTAAGTGATTTAACGGCTGAAAGGTATGAAAATGAGAGAGATAGTAGGCTAACACAGGCTGTTGAGTCTCTCAAGCGTCTATTTCAAGGAGTTCATGGTCGGATGACTGATCTTTGTCGGCCAAATCGGAAGAAGTATAACCTTGCTGTCACTGTTGCCATGGGAAGATTTATGGATGCAGTAGTTGTAGAAGATGAAAACACGGGAAAGGATTGCATCAAGGTACTTATCTTATGCTTGTGGTGTTCTATCCTATGTAAACTGTGAACTTTTAATTCGTAATTTCTATTTCTTCTCTGCTGACAATTATAGTTTCAGAATTTCAGTAACAGGTGAGTAAGCTATTCTTTACCATATTACTGCTCTCTGGCCTATTCCAGCAAATTAATGATGTTTTAAACACTACAACCTCTTAGTGATGCTTTAAACTCTACCACGTTCTAAATGATCAATTCATATTATTTAGGTATGTAACATATATGCTGTAATCATCTCCAGGCAGACTTCATTCCATATAATTAAAAATTAACCCCTATTCTATGATACTTGGCTTCAACTTAACTTTTTGAATCTTTTTCTACCTTGCTTTTAAGCAATTTGAAGTAAATGTTAAAGAGGATTTTGTACCACTACTCTAGGTATGTGATGAAATGAGTCTTTTTTTGTTTTTTGTTTTTGTAATTTGCAGTACTTGAAAGAGCAAAGGCTTCCTCCTATGACATTTATTCCTCTTCAGTCAGTACGTGTCAAGCAAGTGTCTGAAAGATTGAGAAATTTGGGTGGCACAGCAAAACTGGTGTTCGATGTTATCCAATATCCTTTGCAAATAAGTGAACAGATTTGACTTGAGCATATTCAAGGTCACCTGTATTGAAAATTTCTCATCTCTTGGATTCATATCATTGCGTGCATAGCTGTTGGTAGCTTGAGATTATTTTAATATATTAAACCAAGTATTGAGAAGTATAGAAAGGTTTACGTGAGCAGGTTTCTAAAGTATATGTTTTGGTCCTTAACTACTCCACGTTCGATCCTGAATTGGAGAAGGCGGTCCTCTTTGCTGTTGGAAATACTCTTGTCTGCGACGAACTTGAAGAAGCCAAGGTTCTTAGCTGGACCGGAGAGAGACATAAAGGTATGTTCCTCTTTCCTTCTTTAGATGTAATTTACTCATATGCTTGCACTAAAGTTGGCTTTACTTTCTACATATCCTGATTTCTATTATTTTTAGTTGTGACTGTTGATGGTATATTACTCACAAAGGCGGGAACAATGACTGGTGGTACCAGTGGTGGAATGGAAGCAAAGTCTAATAAATGGGATGATAAGAAAATTGAAGGTTGGTTGGACACCAGCTGGTTTAAAGCCTCTTCACTTCTGATGTATTTTCTTAGAACAGATATTTGTTTGTGCAGGTTTGAAGAAAAAGAAAGAAGAACATGAACTAGAATTGGAAAATATTGGATCTATTCGAGAAATGCAAATGAAGGAGTCTGAAATATCGGGTAAAATAAGTGGACTTGAAAAAAAGATTCAGTATGCTGAAATTGAGAAGGTAACAACCATTTTATCTTTTCCAAGATGAGTGGTCTCATATATTTTACTTGCTGTTGTCGAGAGAACCCTGATTGGGATAAGAAAGCCATACAGTAGCACACATTTTATCATTCCTTCTGCTAGGAGGAGCTGTCACTATTCAGAATATACTAATTGGTGAATTTGTTTAACAGAAAAGCATCAAAGACAAACTTCCACAGCTTGAGCAAGAGAAGCGGAATATCATTGAAGAAATTGATCGCATAAAGCCTGAACTCTCTAAGGCAATTGTCTATCTTTTCTGATATTCGGTAGAGTTAATACCTGATGACAATAGTATGACTGAATGTCATTGGTATTTATTGTAGGCAAAAACTGAGGTCGATAAGAGAAAGACAGAAATGAATAAGTTGGAGAAAAGAATGAATGAGATTGTGGACCGTATCTATAAGGATTTTAGCCAGTCTGTTGGGGTTCCAAACATACGTGTATATGAAGAAACTCAGCTGAAGACTGCTGAAAAGGAGGCTGAAGAAAGGCTGGAACTGAGTAATCAGCTTGCTAAGTTAAAATACCAGTATGTCTCTTCTGCTCTGTTTTTCTGGTTACATATCAGTTCTAGTCAAACTACACATATACAGTGTTAGTCTCTTTTGATTTCTTTTTACCGTTTTTGTGCTAAAATATATCTCTGATTCTGAAGTCAACATGTCATTCCTGATTTTTCGTTTTTTTTTTTTTAAATAAACACTATCTTGTGCATCATATTGTTGTTACATGTTGACTTTCACGCGCCTACTAAAAAGAAGGCACTACGGCACTGTTTGAATTTTGTAATTATTAGGCAGCTATGGTCGACATTATCTTGTATTACCAAGTAAGGGTCAGTATCCTGTAGCCTGCAAAAAACGGTGTTACAAACCTCTGCTATACGCGAACTGGTTGGCTGAGTTGCATACTGCTTTCTATTGAATGGAGCTTGAGTTGTATGATCAGAGTAAAAGTAAGTAATCTAGTTGGTTCATGAAAATCATTTTTTCGAATTTCAGGCTGGAATATGAGCAAAACCGAGATGTGGGGTCACGGATTCGAAAGCTAGAGTCTTCTATCAGTTCTCTGGAAACTGATTTGGAAGGTATACAGAAGACAATGTCTGAACGTAAGGAGACAGCAGTAAAAATTACTAATGAAATCAACAATTGGAAGAAGGAAATGGAAGGTATATTGATTCTATTTCTACATACATCTGATGGCATTTTCAGTTCTATGCTTTTCTTTATTCTCAGTCCCATTTTGAGTTGTCAATTTGAGGATTGCATTCGTAGCAGACATTAACATGATCCGGTAAAAGTACATTGTCTGTATCTATGTTGGAGGCTTGGAGCTGTTACTGAATTGATGTATTCAAATATGGAATTTTCTTATTCTTTTTAGGGGATATATCTATGGATATTTACACGCCGTTTTCAACCAACTGTCTGTTTGCATTACATAATCCTTGATGTTTGTTGATTGCTCCTTGAACAAATTTTGGGATGTACATGATCTGCTCGACATCTTGCGTAAATATATGGTTACGCTACATCATAATCTAATTCAGAAAGAAACTATCATATTATGATAAACTGCTCAAGGCTGACAGATGGTTGATGTGAAGAATCAGTATGATTGATATTGTACGGCTGTTATTCTGTTCTTTGCTTTTGCTTGTATAAGCATAGGTTACAGAACCATATACTTTGATTATAACTTTACCTGTCTAATGTTCTTTGCCTAGCAAAAATCTGCACTGGTATCTTCTTTCTTAAAGACTATTTAATGCTCCTGCTTGCAGAGTGCAAAAAAAAGTCGGAGGAGTATGAGAAGGAAATCCTGGATTGGAAAAAACAGGCTTCTCAAGCGACAACAAGCATAACCAAGCTCAATCGTCAAATACATTCGAAGGTACAATAAGATTCATCAAATCCTTTCCTAATGATCTGATATGTCTGAGTATAGATACACTAAAGCTTCCATATGCTATCAGGAAACACAAATTGAGCAGCTGATCTCGCAGAAACAGGAAATAACTGAGAAGTGTGAGCTCGAACATATTACCCTTCCTGTCTTATCAGATGCTATGGAGGAAGATGACTCAGATGGGCCACAGTTTGACTTTAGTGAGCTAGATAGAGCTTATCTCCAAGAACGGAGACCATCTGCTCGTGAAAAAGTGGAGGCGGAATTTAGGCAGAAAATAGAATCTAAAACATCCGAGATTGAAAGAACGGCTCCAAATTTGAGAGCGCTTGACCAGTATGAGGCTATACAAGAGAAGGAAAAACAAGTTAGCCAGGAGTTTGAAGCGGCCAGGAAAGAGGAGAAGCAAGTAGCGGATGCCTTTAATACTGTTAAGCAGAAGAGGTAACTCGAAATTTCTCTTGTGAAATGATATCTAGAGCTTTGAAGAAATTTATTACCTAATGTCAACGACTATATGGTAATATGGTGGAACAAGAAACCGAACAAGTAAAAGTCTGAAGATTCTAGTTCTGTGGAAATTACCTGTCTAAGTTACTGTTTGGATACAATGCACACAAATGTGCCCACACATGCACATGTACAAAGAAAATTTTCAGTTTTTCCCAACTAAATTCATATACTCCATTATAGTTTTTTCTGCTCATTTCAAATTGTTGTGCAGGTATGAGCTATTTATGGAAGCTTTCAACCACATTGCTAGCAACATTGACAAGATCTATAAGCAACTAACCAAGAGTAATACGCACCCACTGGGTGGGACTGCTTATCTAAACCTAGAAAATGAAGATGATCCGTTTCTACATGGTATAAAGTATACTACAATGCCCCCAACAAAGCGATTTCGTGACATGGAACAGCTCTCTGGAGGAGAGAAAACAGTTGCGGCCTTGGCATTGCTCTTCTCCATCCATAGGTATCCTCAACGACCTAGATATCCCATTTATTTCAATGATAAAAGTGATTTTGTAGGTTTATATTGATTTATCTCTGATGTTTAGTTTCACTCTTTGAAATTGGACTAGGAGACTGTGATCTTGGCACATGAAATTTGTTATTTGTGTCTGGAACCATCAGATTTGTTTGAGTCCTTAGCTTCGGTTTTACCAGACTGACATCGTTTTAGGTTTTCTGTTCCTAGTAAAATACCCATCTTCAAAGTCGCTTTTTGTTTCTTTATGATCTGAGATTTGGCCTAGGCTCGTGTAAATATAGTAGTTGTTCTGCAAAGGTGTTTTGAGGATTTGATGAAGTTTGTGGTATTGTTTACCTTTCCGTTTTTCAGCTATAGGCCTTCACCCTTTTTCATACTTGATGAAGTGGATGCTGCGCTTGATAATTTAAACGTGGCAAAAGTTGCTAAATTCATACGTAGCAAGTCATGCCAAGCGGCACGTGACAATCAGGATACAGAGGATGGGAATGGCTTCCAAAGCATTGTAATATCTCTCAAGGACAGCTTCTATGACAAGGCGGAAGCTCTGGTTGGAGTTTACAGAGACACTGAGAGGAGGTGAGGAAAATTTCCACATCAATCTTTTTAACATGCGTCTATTTATTCATGGGGTAGTAGCAAAATTTTGGCTTAATATCTGAAACCACTTGGTGATATATTATTTGCTGCAGTTGCTCGAGTACAATGTCATTTGACCTTCGGAACTACCAAGAATCGTGATTGGTTCGACAACCCTTGGTGAGGTTTAGGGTTTAGGTAAGTATAATAAACCCTAACTTTGTAAATATAGCAAGTACTGAATGGTGTTTGATATCTAGGTTTTTAAATTCTGTGTCACAACGTTAAAAGGGTATTTCACAGTGGTATGGTGCTTTATTTACGATTTGATGCGGCACAGGACCTTCTAAGATCTGACAATGTAGAACCTATGGAAACCTTTTTTTTATGTGATATAAGAAACTCTTGATCTTAGTTGAAATTGGTTGACGTTTTATATAGATTATGAAATGTTTAATGATTAGCTTTTGGAGACATGTTTTGAAAGTAGAAGTATAATCAAATGTGTCTTTAATTCGTCAGACTAGAAATCAAATAATCAAAAGCCATTTTTGTCGTCCCTATCGACTTTAAAAAAGCTTTAAATCAAAACGACCCAGCAATGAATGAACCCGGTTGGGCTTCCAGACAAAGCTTGAATTCCAAAGGTTTGACTTCTCAGACTTAAAGATTCGGATATAATCTTAGTCTTAAAACTCCGTAATCATATTTATTAACGGATAAGATCCAACAGAGCTTCAGAATTTGTCCTTAATTCATAATCTTCTAATATTTCTAATTTCTATTATAATTCGATGGATACGTGTCATATGACTAGTTAGTGACATCACTTGCGTCTTCCGTTTTCTCTTGTCCTCTTCGTAATCATTAAAGTAATTTTAATTATTATTTTAAATAAAGAAACCAGCGGAGGGAGAAAAACAGAAAACGAGAAAACCAGAGATTCATCAATTCGTTCATTCTTTAGTTCTTCTTCTTCCTTCTAACCTTAGAAACTTATAGCTACAGAGAGAAGAAGAAGAAAGCAAATTGAATGGCGGCAAGAGCCAACAACAAATACACCTCTATCAACTTCAACCACATCCTTCACAAAGACCCTCCTTCTTCTTCTTCTTCTTCTTCATCATCATCTTCCGCTTCATATTCCTCCGTCGCTCGTTCCAATGGCCGTATGCTCGTCCTCACCAAATCTTCCCCCAAACCTCTGAGATCTCCCTCCACTTCTACCTCCACCACCACCACTACGACCACGCCTCCGATCTCTCCAGCTCCGAGGATTTCCAATCAAGCCATCTCTGATCCAGATCCAAATCAGATCTCTCTTCGTCCCTTAGGTCATACAGGACCTGGTTCCTCTCGTTCGTTCCCAATTCGGAATCCTGAAATCGACAAGGTCCCGGAGGTGCCTGCTCCTGCTCCGAGTTCATTCTCCCCGAAACCTGATCGGTTCGTGCCGCCGCATCTTAGGCCAGGTTTCGTTCGGAAAGACGAGAAACCTGGACTCGACTCTTCTCGAGTTAGAGATCCGAATCTGAATCAGAGATTGCCTAACCAGGAACAGCCACGGCAGGGATATTTCGGGTATGGACAGACCGGACGCCCCAAATCGGGCGGGTATGAGAGGATCCGGACGGATCCGAGAACAACCGGAAACCGACCCGGCACCTCCGGATGGTATGTTCAATTGTTCATCCCTGTCGTAATAATCATATAATCTCAAATCCTTTGTGTAGCTCTGCCTCAACCGAATTATCTTGAGATTTATTCTACGTTTTTAGATAGTTTCATAACTAAATTGGAAATGAGATTATCCTGATGGTTTGCTGAACAAGTCGTCATGGGACCTCTTGAGCCGACTCCACCATGTGTCTGAACATTAGGATTCATTCGTTTCACCAAAGAGAATGTCATCATCTTCATGTGGATTCGATTTTGAGATGAGAAAGTGATATGAAGGTGTTTTTGTTGGAGAAGCTACTCTTTAAGCCATAGATATTTGTCTTGGAATAATCTCTGTGTATTGATCATCTCATCTCTCTTCTGTCTTTTTTTCTGTTGGTAAGCTGTGACTAGAATTGATGATGTTTGTGCAGATGAGCTTGCTGGGTTGATGTCCAGTTTACTCACTCGATGATGGAGATGGAACCTTACTTACCTCTCAACGTTAAAAACAGTGACTTGTTACTTCTCACTTCTTTTGATCAAAGACCACCCCCTAAGATTCAGTAGATTTGTACAAGATGTTATTGTTTTGGGATCAGGGTGACACAAATAACACTTGTTATCTTACTTGTCTCACTTATGTTTCAAAACTTTGTTTATGTACTAATGTACGTATAATTCTGTTAGCACTTGTTGTTTAGGTATTCTATACCAGATATCTCTTTTGGTGTTTTTTTATAAGAAAACAATTTGTTTCTGGATGTTATTTCACCAGGAGAATTTTGCCACTTTTGTGTATTTGGCCTCTTGCAATTGCAAGAAAATCTAACGAACAAGCCAAAAAAAAGATCTTTTATAGTCTTTGTTTTTTTATCTTCAAAACTATCTTTTATACATAAACTTTTTTTTTGAAGAGAAACACTTGCAACTTGCAAGGAGGGCTAGAGTTGAAAACAAAATAATACATTTTGAGAAGGCTTTTGTGGCCTTGAAAACATCAAACTTTGGAGATTTGGAGGACGTACACACCAAATTGAGACATTTTGAGAAAAAACCCCTATTATTGAAGATGTGAAGGATTTTCGCGCTAAACCAGACGATTAAAGAATCTCCTCCTGTGGATTATTTCGTGTTAATATATCATGCTAATACAAATACTTTTTCCTCTAAACAAATTGCAAAAACAGTTAATAAGCAGCACGCTAATTATATACCTTTGATGCAATTAATTACCACCGATCGCCTCAATCACCACGAAAACAAAAGAACCCTTTAAATTCCCGATTTACCCCTCCGTCTCCATTAATACACACTCTGCTTTTTTTTTAGATCTCTCTCTCTCAGCACAAAGCAATCACAAATCAAAGCTCTCAGAGATCCAACAATGGGATCTCTTCCACCGCCATCTCTAGATTTGTCATCAATCGATCACAATTCCCTCAAAAATGGCGGATCCAGCCACCAAGAGATCTCCCGTGATAATCTCCTCAACCTCTTCACATCTCAGCAAGATCTTCTCAATCACTTCTTCAAACATCTCGATCTCTCTCAAACCCTAGATTTCTCACGCATTCTCCTTTCCACCACCGGCACCGTTTTCTTCACCGGCGTCGGTAAATCCGCTTTCGTAGCTAACAAGGTTTCACAGACGCTCGTTTCTCTCAGCTTCCGTTCCTCTTTCCTCTCCCCTCTCGATGCGCTTCACGGCGACATTGGCGCTCTTTCTCCACGAGATGTTCTCGTTTTCTTCAGCAAATCTGGCGCCACCGAGGAGCTTCTCCGTCTTGTCCCTTGCGCTAGAGCTAAAGGAGCGTTTCTGGTGTCTCTTACCTCTGTTTCTGGGAATCCGCTCGCTGGAGTTTGTGATATGAATGTGCATTTGCCGCTTCAGAGAGAATTGTGTCCGTTTAATCTCGCTCCGGTGACTTCTACGGCGATTCAGATGGTGTTTGGTGATACAATCGCCGTTGCTCTCATGGCGGCTAGAAATCTTTCCAAGGAAGAGTATGCAGCTAATCATCCCGCCGGTAGAATCGGCAAGAGCTTAATCTTCAAGGTCTGTTCTCGAAATTGCTCGACTTTGGAATTTCAATTTCCTAATGTTCTGATTTGGCTATACTATACATAAGTTTAAGAACCAGTAGGATTGATAAATACAACAATGGGGATGAATCTATTTGACTGTATTTTGTAGGTGAAAGATGTTATGAAAAAGCAAGAAGAGCTTCCTGTGTGCAAAGAAGGAGACTTGATAATGGATCAATTAGTGGAGCTAACCAGCAAAGGATGTGGATGTTTGCTTGTGGTTGATGAACATTATCGCTTGATCGGTACATTCACAGATGGAGATCTTCGTCGGACTCTCAAGGCTAGTGGAGAAGCAATCTTCAAGCTCAGTGTTGGAGAAATGTGCAACAGGTGAGAAAAAACTCTGTTTTTAGATCCTATAAACATTGGTTGGTATATGTTGAAATCTTTATCTTGAACCTTATGTTGAATCAGGAAGCCGAGGACAATTGGACCAGAAACAATGGCAGTTGAAGCAATGAAGAAAATGGAATCACCGCCATCGCCTGTACAATTTCTACCGGTGGTCAATGAAGACAACACCTTGATTGGAATTGTAACATTGCATGGTCTAGTTTCAGCTGGTCTCTGAACACGAAGGTGCCTCTATATCGAGTTTTATATAGTTGATTCTTTTACAGAAACCCATATCAAGAATATTGGTGTAATTTGATTGATATTCACAGCCAGTGAATTGTATTGTGTCTAGTAGTACTTCATGTATTGTCCATCGTTTACTCAAAGATATGTATAGAGTATAAGAAGATTTCTTGTATCTTTGTTCTGCCTTACTTTCATTTTCTTCTACTCTTGCTTTCATTTTTGCCTTAAAGAAAGCTACCTGCAACATCTTTCTTAGTGTCACCACTCATAGCACCATTTTGATGGGACCATATATAGAAAAAGAAAATGCAGTTTTTGCTTTTGATTGAATAAACTTTGGCTGAAGAAGCTGAAACAATGCAGTTTTTGCTCAGTGTAGTTACTGCTGGATATTTGATTCTAACAATTCTTCTTTATTTCAGTGGTGACATAGAAAAACACAGTTACATCATATTAGCTTTCCATTTTCATTTGTCACAATGAACAGAAGAAAAGCGGTTCTATATGTAAAAGAATCAGATTCTATTGCATTTAACGATCAATAATAAGTAAAACATAAAGAGAACTTGAGTTGCTAGTGAGAAGAAAGATAAAGAGATACATAGAAAACAAAGATACAAGATTTAAAAACAATTTCTTTTAAATTCTCTATGCAGTTGACACTGCGTTGTTACTGTTGTTGTTGCTGCTGCTTTCATCATTTTGTTCGTTCTCACCGGACATTTCCTCGAGAGACTTGCCTTTAGATTCAGGAACCAACAGTGTAAAAACCATCCCCAAAAGATTAACCACACCCAAAACAATGAGCGAGTTCTTGACTCCAATGCCTGGAGGATATCCATGCTCTGTCTTGGTCTTGTCAGGACTTTGTGCTAAGTACAAGAACCCAAACGCACCAACCATTGCTCCCAACTTTCCAGAAGCCGCGGAAATTCCATGACAGGTTGATCTAAACCTAGCCGGGAAAATCTCAGCGGGCACAACGAAAGTTGTTGCATTGGGTCCAAAGTTGGCGAAGAAGAATGTTAGAGAGTACATAGCCACGAATCCGATTCTGTTCTCCTTGTGAGTCCAATGGTCGTAAGGAATGGCGAGAGCGAACATAAAGACGGTCATGAAGAAGAAACCCATCATCTGTATCGCAAATCTACCTATGACGTCGATGAAGGCCACTGTGAACCAGTAACCGGGTACCGTGCTGCACAAGGCGATTAGGGTTTGCGCACGTGCAATCTTGAAAACCTCTTGAATCGCGTTCATGGTCTGGGCCGGAGGAATCCATCCGATCGCGCTGAAAATATCTTTCTGGAAAAGGTTCTGACTGTAGAAGGCGATGTCGAGTAGGAACCATGTGCTTGTAGTTCCGAGCAAATGAAGGCCATGACGTTTCATGAATTCCTTGGAAAACAAGCCAAAGGAATTGGACTTATCTTCACTTCTCTGCTGCTCTGCTTCGATCTCCACTTGCAAAACCTTAGACATGTTTGAAGCCGCTAGTTTCGCGTCCTTGGCCACAAGAGCCGTGTACCGGGCGGTCTCAGGCATCTTCGACCTCGAGTAATACGTCATTGCGGCAGGCAAAGCACCCACCATGAGAATGATCCGCCACACGTAATCCGCTTGGGGAACTGTGGATGCCAAGGCATCAACTTTATAGATAGGAGCCGGAAACTTAGCCTCGAAAGCGGCAGCCACGATGATGGCAAAAATACCCCCCGTCAAGATTCCAAACCCTTGCATAGCAAAAACCGCTGCTATAAACGCACCGCGGGTCTTTTTATTGGCGTATTCAGACATAATCGTGGCAGATAACGGATAATCACCTCCTATGCCAAAACCAAGCCAGAACCGGAAGAAACAGAGCGTAGTCATCACCGTTTTCGGGTCACTCCCAAAGGATAGACCCGAGGCGATGGAACAAAGGACCATGACCATGAGGGTCATACCGTAAACTTTTTTCCTCCCAAGCTTGTCGCCGAGCCAGCCAAAGAAGAGCTGGCCGGCGAGTGTACCGCAGAAGGCGACGCCATTAACAGCGGCCGAGACGTTTGGAGGCAGCGTTCCTGGCTTCTCCGCACCGTCCACGTGGTAGTAAATGCGGCCAAGAAGCTTAGTGACGAGGGAGATACAAAAAAGGTCGTAAGCGTCGGTGAAGAATCCCATTCCGGCGATGATAATCGCAGTGAAATGGTACCACTGTGTTTTGGCGACGTCGAGTGCGTTTAGCACGTTTAGTTGATCTCCTGCCATTGCTCTCTTTCTCTTTTCCTCTGCGTTAATATTAAAAACACACACATTCAGTATCAAATTCATATACTGTATATATAACCTGGTTTCAGACACGTTTTATTGGTACAAAATAAATTGATAAAATTTTAATCCATAAGCATCAAAAAGGTTTTAAAATTCGTCAAATTCATAAGTTTTTAATCTCTTTTTGGCTTAAGTATTTGTAAAGGTTGACTTGTAAGTAACGCGTGGAACTGGAAAACGGGACACGAAGTAAGATGGTGAGGCACACCAACAAAAGATTTGATCATTCCATAATATCCAGTTCAATGACAGTCAGAATTTTCCTTTAAATCACAACATATTTCGAACCACTTTTTTTTTTGTGATTTCAGAATTTGTGCCACTTTCTTTAAACTTAATGTGCCAAAATCAACTGATCCAAGAAAGAATGTTATAAACAAATTAAGTTTCAATCTCAGAACTTCAACAACGACAAAGGCTGTATAATCATAGTTGCTGAACAATTTTGTAAAAGACGATTTGATTTTTAGCTTCCAAATAGACGATTTCGTCTATCAAAACATTGATCAGCTATCATAGAAAATGTTTCTTACGAAACTACTCTATTTAATAGACATAACACAAACACATGCTTCACACACAAAAACTATATATTTAATAAACAACAACAATAACCAAACGCTTGCATAACCTCATTTCTCATTCACACAACAAATCATAAAAGTTAAAAAAGATTCATAAACACGTAATTACTCAAGAAGAAATTAACTTACAGAAAGAGTATTTTATTTTGCTTACTTTCTCGCAAACAATCTCTCCAAATGTGGGATTGTCTTAAAGAAAGAAATAAAGAGAAGAGTATTAG